TGCGGCGGCGGCGGCGACGACGAACGTGTGGCTGGTGGTGGCGATCTGCGGCGTGTCGAGCCTGTTCCTGCTGGCCGTGGTGCTGTACGGGGCGTCGCGGTGGGCGCCGCGGGCGGCCGTGCTGTCGGGGCCCGGGCCCACGACGCTGGTGTGCGCCAGCGAAGTGGGCAGCTGGTCGTACTCGCAGCGCCAGAGCCGCAGCCTGTGCGTGGCGGAAGGCGCGGCCAAGAGCGACCTGATGGTTTTCAGCCCCAACTTCCCGCCGCCGCCCGGCGCCGCGGCCAAGGACACGCAGCCGGAGCCTCCCGCTCTCCTCGACACGGTCAGTGGCGTTTCCTCCCTTGTCTCTGCCTCCTCTCCCGGCCCCTGGACAGGCAGTGCCCGGAGCTGGTCTCCATTCCTGCAGTCGCAGTGTGGTGGGTACTTTGCAGGTGATTTAGGATGCGGATTTCACCTTTGCACCTACCGCGGCGTCTTTCCCGTAGCGCCATCTCTCTTGCTGAGGTGAGGCCAAAGTGAAGGTCTTGCGGCACTCCAAAACAGTTATGGTCCACAGGTGAGCTTTGCTGCTGAGGGTGGCAGCTGTTCTGCCCCAGAATTAGATTCCCTCTGTTTTGCCCATTGCGTGAGAGGTCTACCGACGTGTCAGCTCAGGCAACTCTCGCTTGCTGATGTATAGCATTTCCATCCGAGCTTGGTAAAGGAATGGAAGAACAGCGGGTTTTCATGTTTTCAGCTCCCCAGGCACTGTGTGCTATCTTGTTGCCTTTGCTGACTGTATTGGTATTAGTCGAGTTTCTTAGGGAAAACTACCCTCCTCATCTTTGATTCTGCTTACAAATTGATGTGAAGCAAGGTGAATTTTAGGCCTTAAAGGACAAAAGTTTTCCATTTTCGTTCTGCCACCAGACTCCTTAGGAAAGAGGGGAAGGTGTGACCATCATTTTCATGTTTCTGTGATCTTTTTGCAAGTATATTGCTTTAGTTAAGCTTAAATTATTCAGGTGGAGTTTGCCCTAATGTAAGTACTAAAAAGTCTGATTATCTTTTTCTGCTGCCCCTGTTCTGCAGATTGTGGACGTGCATTCCTGATCATTGACATGTTGGGTAGTACTATGTCCCTTTTTTATGGTCTTTCAAATTTGCATTAACAGCCGATGCATTAAAATCCATCATTAAAAAACCGGGGAAAATTGTCTATTGAACAGTGAACCAAGTAACATATTCAAAATCCCTGAAACTGGAGAACAAGCACTCTCTGCCAAATGTCGAATAACATGTTGTTACATGCTCATCATCATGTGTTCCACTGGTGTTCTCACCACTGTTTCAGTTTTTCTCTCAGAGCATGACATCAGTGCCATTGCCATTTAGAGCTGTCATGACATCACCTTTGGGAAGAGTTTTGCTGCCAGCTCTGCCCCCTTTCCATCTGAGATAGCTGAAGGAATCCCAAACATGACAGGTCAGGTGCAGAGGGTCTGCTGTGCCCTGTGCATGTGACACCATCTGTGTGTTTTGAAGGTGCTGTCATTGCTGGGGAGGAGTGAGTTGAATGGGTCCTTGAGGTGGGTAAGAAAACTGTGGCCTGTAGTACTGAGCAGGGCCTGGCTGTTTCCTGATGTGAAAGGTGATGTTGGGCAGTGGGATCTTGACTTGTGTGGGAGAACTGGGAATCCTTGGGAAGAGCATGGGCCATGTTGTAAGGCAAGAATAGGAGATGACATGTTTGTCTTGAGAAAACATCTTGGAGAGGGGAGTGAAGGATGCCCGGAGGAAAGCAAGATGAGCACAGATCTCCTATCAGAGACAGTCTCTTGTGCTGCTGCCTGCCTGAAGTAGGCCGTGTGTTGGTCAGAGGGGGTGAGATGCAGCGTGCTGAGTGTTGTGTGATGAACCACTTGTTTTGAAACAGGTGTTGTGGGAGGGGAATGCTTAAACTTGCTTTTCCTGTGCAGTGATGAGTATCCCTAGATGTTTGCACAACTGCTGATGGTGTCACGATGGTTTCTTGCTCCTCCTCAGGTGGGATTTGTAAGTAGACCTGCTGAGTTGGGTGTAATCTCTGTGTGCTCAACTTGCCCTCCTTGTGCACTACAGAGGTGGCCTCAGTCGAGATGGTGTGTCCTGTTGTCACACATGGCTCATTCTTGTATCTGCAGGCACCCACCAAGCCCTGCACTGCAGCCCAGCTCTGGCTTTATGTGAACACTTCTGAGTGCTTTTGTGCTTTGGCATTTGCTGTGGTTCTCTTGGTGATATAAATATGTGTGGCCTGGGGTCAGAGCTGTCACAGCTCTAATCCCAGAACCTTTATGAACTCTAACACACAGCTCTGTGGTGTTTCCATGTGAGGTTGCTGAGAAGGAACAAAGCATTTATGGTGAAGTTTGTGCAGCTGGGAAGAGCTTGCCAAATGCTGTGTGGCCTTGCAGAAGTGCATAGATTCTTTGTGTTGCTCTAGAGGGAAAGTGAGGATGTGAAAGGCCTGGATCACATGCAAAATGGGCATTACAGATGAAGCATGTGAGCAAAGTTTGATATTTTGGCAGTGATTCTTCACATGGGACTAAGTAGAGCCTGGGTTTGTGTGATGGGGAGGGTGAGTTTGGGTGGGGAAGTGTTGCCTGAAGGAAATGGAGATGCTGTGTAGAACATAGTGGGTGTAATTGGGAAGGAAATGACTAATGTCAGATTAGCTGTGGAGTTGCCATTTTCCAATGGCACTGGATAGAGAATACCAGTAGAAAATGTTGAGTAAAGGCTGATCACATCAGGTTTCTCTCCTGGCCCCCTCTCAGGACCTCCAGTAGTTCTGCACATCCTTGTGCTCTATCCTCTGTGTTACTATTGCTTGTGTAGTTATTCATCCCTTTCTTTGCTGGTCTTTGATTTGGAGTGTTGTTGGCCCAACTGCAGGTTTTTGCAATGTGTATCATTCAGCCATTCTTCTCAGGCCATTGCCTCAGTCATCTCTGAGGTCTTGGTCTTCCTTGTAAGGGGGCACAGCTGGTAGCATTAAATGACACTGTCAATACACCTTGTCCTGGAGGGTTTTTTGGTGAAGAAGCAACAGTGATGCTGATGAGGTAAGTCACTGATAACTGAAGAGGCTCTGTGTGAGGGATGGGTTTACCTTGGTTCATGTTCACCTTGGGTTTCTTTGTGTTGGATCGACTGCATGTCTCCTGGATTGAAATGCCTGTAGGTTTGGAGCAGCACGACCTGCTCTCATTCCTTTCCAGCTGTTGCCTGGCACAGGGTGAGCAGGTGGAAGCAAGGGTGGATCAAGAACTGACTTTATTCTGTTTCTTGGAGTAGCTGTGTTGGGCCTGCAGCAGATGATCTCAGTGCCAATGCCCTGGTGTTACCTTGGTGGGTTTGTTTGGCTGTGCAGGTGGGACATGGACCAGGAAGGAAAAGCTCTTAATAGAAATCTCTGAGAAGTGTTCAGGAGCTGTGCTTGCCCTGTGCTTTTTCATTCTTCTTTTGCAGGGTCATTGTGCTTGGTTGGGATATGTTTTCAGTTCCCAAAGGAGCTTCTTCCCTGGGTTTTTACTCCTTGGAGCTGTTTTTATTAGATGTCTAAGTGGGCGGAGCCTTCTCTAATGTGGCAGAGCTGTCCTTTGCTATCTGGCTGCTATGATGTGTTATTGCTGGGTCCTTGAGTTGACTGATGAGGGCTCAGCGTTTGGCTTTCCATCCTGAAGGGAGGGGCAGTTGTAGGTGCAGGGATGGGAGGTAAGCAGAAAGGTCCAGATGGATAGGAGGAGGAAAGGAAGAGGCACGAGAGCTTTTGTGAAAGGGCATGTTTGTGCTTGGTGGTGACAGTGGTGTAGCTATTTTTAAAGAATTTTCTTAAGGGAAAAAATGGATTGAATATACAAGGATGGAAGGAGAAGGGAAGGGGAAGCAAAAAATGGCCCAGCAAGGCAAGAAAGGAAGAAGGAGAGTAAGGGAGAAGAGGAAAAAGGAACAGAGAAAGGAAGAGAAAAAACTGAAACAAAGCAAGGAATCTTTGCAAGGAAGAGGAATGAGAGCTGTTCAGAAAGGACATATCCCCTGTGAGTATGGCATAGACATTTGAAAAGAATTTTGGTAAGAAAAAAAGACGTAGGAGACAATGAAGAGGAGCTGAAAACATAGGACAGGTAAAAGCCAGTAGGAGGAAAGAAGACAGGGGTAAAGAATCCACTGAAAGTTAAGCAAATAAGAGAAGAAGGAAGAGAGATAACATCAGAATAAAATGGAGAAGAAAAGGATAGATAAAGAAAGGAGACTACATAAATGAAAAGCAAGCCAGTATGCAGTCACGGAGGGAAGGAAGGAAGGAGAGAATTGAAGAAAAGAAAACACGATGAAGTAGATGACCAGCTGATACCGACCTCACCTCTGGACTCTGAGTGAAGTTGGTCCCCAGCAGCCTCTGCTTCGGTTACAATACCTCACTCTGGTGCTGCTGCCCGATGATTAGCGCTGATGGCTCCGACTTCCATGGCCTCCGCCGCAACGCCGCAGGAGACTGGGGAACAGCCAGCGAGGATAAAGAAGAGCGAAGATTGGAAAGATAAGAGAAAATGGCTTAAAGAATAATGCAGGGCAGAGCAACAATGAAAAGGAGAAAGAACAGAAGGACAACGAACAGAAAAATGGGAACTTCGTATAAAGGGAACAGTAAAAAAAGGAAGAGAAAAAATACTCTTAAAAAAAGAATAGAAATAAAAGGAAGGAAGACAAATAAGAAAAAGAGAAGCTCGGTAGGAAGAGATGTCAGAGATGACGGTGCTGGCACTGTGTGGTGGGATCGTGTGAGGCGGCGGAGCAGCGCACGGTGTCGCTGCAGGCTCAGGAACGGCGTGTGGGCGGCTCCGCCCCGGTGCGGCGGAGAGCCCGGCTGTGAGCGCGGGGGGGCGGCTGGGGCCGGGCAGCGGAGCCGGGGCGTGCGGGCGGCGGCGGGAGCCGTGCGGGGCCCGTGCGGTCTGGGGCCGGAGGCGGCGGCGGCGGCGATGGGCGAGTGTGCGTGGGGTGCGGTGTTGCGGGTGGTGGTGGTGCAGGCGGCGTGGGCGCTGTGCGCGGGGCAGGTGCGGTACTCGGTGCCGGAGGAAGCCAAGGCCGGGACGGTGGTGGGCCGTGTGGCGCAGGACGTGGGGCTGGAGGCGGGCGAGGCGGAGGCGCGGCGGCTGCGGCTGGTGGCGCAGGGCCGGCGGGCGAGCGTGGAGGTGAGCGGGGCGAGCGGGGCGCTGGTGGTGAGCTCGCGGCTGGACCGGGAGGAGCTGTGCGGGAAGAGCGCGCCGTGCTTGCTGCGGCTGGAGGTGCTGGTGGAGCGTCCGCTGCGCGTCTTCCATGTGGAGCTGGAGGTCACCGACATCAACGACAATGCCCCCATCTTCCCCGCCGCCCGAAAAAACATCAGTTTTTCGGAGAACTCCCCTCCCGGCTCCCGTTTCCCACTGGAGGGCGCTTCGGATGCGGATATCGGAGCGAACGCGCAGCTCTCCTATACACTCAGTCCCAGCGAGCATTTCAGAATAGAGGAAGAAAACAGTAACTCGCGCAGTAAGTCCCTGTTTCTGGTGCTCACGAAACCGCTGGACCGGGAGACAATTCCCGTGCACCGGTTGTTGCTGACGGCGAGTGACGGGGGCCGGCCGTCTCTGACGGGGACGATGGAGCTGGTGATCTCGGTGCTTGACGTGAATGACAACGCGCCCCAGTTCAACCAGTCGGTGTATAACGTGGTTTTGCCCGAGGACGCAATAGAGCGGACTCTGGTGGCACGGCTGAACGCCACGGATGCAGACACGGGAATATATGGTGAAATGATTTATGAAATTGATACTGTTGTTCCTCCCTCTGCCTCAGATATTTTCAGCATCGATGCAAATAGTGGCGAGATCAGACTGATAGGAGCCCTGGATTATGAGACTGTTACGATATATAACCTACAAGTTCGGGCAACAGATAAGGGAATGCCGCCGTTGTCGGGTCACTGCAAGGTGGTGGTGGAAGTGCTGGACGTGAACGACAACGCGCCGGAGGTGTGGGTGACGTCGCTGTCGGTGCCGGTGGCCGAGGACGCGTCGGTGGGCACGGTGGTGGCTCTGCTGAGCGTGTCGGACCGGGACTCGGGGGCGAACGGTCGGGTGCGGTGCTGGGTGTGGCCGTCGGGTCCGTTCGGTCTGGAGGCGACGTTCTCGGGGTCGTACTCGCTGGTGCTGCGGGAGGCGCTGGACCGGGAGCGGGTGTCGGAGTACGAGGTGGAGGTGCGTGCGGAGGACGGCGGGTCGCCGTCGCTGCGCGGCAGGCTTGGGGTGCGGGTGCCGGTGTCGGACGTGAACGACAACGCGCCGGCGTTCGCGCAGGCGGTGTACACGGTGCTGGCGCGGGAGAACAACGCGGCGGGCGCGGAGCTGGCGCGGGTGTGGGCGCGGGACCCGGACGAGGCGGGCAACGGGCGCGTGAGGTACTCGTTGTGGGAGGGCTCGGCGGGCGGGGTGTCGGGGTCGTGGTGGTCGGGGGGCGGCGGTGCGGGCGGGGGTCGTCCGGCGTCGAGCTACGTGTCGGTGGACGCGGAGAGCGGTGCGGTGTGGGCGCTGCAGGCGCTGGACTACGAGGAGGTGCAGGTGCTGCAGTTCGAGGTGCGTGCGGTGGACGCGGGGGAGCCGGCGCTGAGCGGCAACGCGACGGTGCAGGTGTTCGTGGTGGACGAGAACGACAACGCGCCGGCGCTGCTGCCGGCGGCGGGCGGCGGTGCGGAGGCGGAGGCGGTGTCGGCGGCGGGGGAGGCGTCGTGGTCCGGGGCGCGGGGGCGCTGTGGGCGTGGGCGGCGTGGGGGCGCCGGCGGGGCAGGTGGTGGCGAAGATCCGCGCGGTGGACGCGGACTCGGGCTACAACGCGTGGCTGCGCTACGAGCTGTGGGAGCCGCGTGGCAAGAGCGCCTTGTTCCGCGTGGGGCTGTACAGCGGCGAGGTGAGCACGGCGCGGGCGCTGGAGGAGGCGGACGGGCCGCGGCAGAGGCTGGTGATCGTGGTGCGGGACCACGGCGAGCCGGCGCGCTCGGCCACGGCCACGCTGAGCGTGTCGCTGGTGGAGGGCGGCGAGGCGGCGCTGGCGGCGGCGGCGGGATCGTCGTCGCTGCTGCCGCGCTCGGCGGCGGGCGGGGACAGCGGCTCTGCGGCGGCGGCGGCGACGACGAACGTGTGGCTGGTGGTGGCGATCTGCGGCGTGTCGAGCCTGTTCCTGCTGGCCGTGGTGCTGTACGGGGCGTCGCGGTGGGCGCCGCGGGCGGCCGTGCTGTCGGGGCCCGGGCCCACGACGCTGGTGTGCGCCAGCGAAGTGGGCAGCTGGTCGTACTCGCAGCGCCAGAGCCGCAGCCTGTGCGTGGCGGAGGGCGCGGCCAAGAGCGACCTGATGGTTTTCAGCCCCAACTTCCCGCCGCCGCCCGGCGCCGCGGCCAAGGACACGCAGCCGGAGCCTCCCGCTCTCCTCGACACGGTCAGTGTCTCTCCCTCCTTCCTTCCCCGGCGAACTCTTCTATCTTTTGTCCCCTCTGATCCGCCCCCTGGGGCGGCGTTGTTTGGAGCCTGGCTCCTCCTCACTGCCTGAGGGCGGTGAGTTCTAAGCAGAAATTACCGGGACTTGTCAATGTGCCGCCTGGTCCTTTCCGTAGGACCCTCGCTCTTGGTGTGTATGTCTCGCGAAATAACAGTATTACGGTACCCTGGAGCTGTTATTTGCTTCAGTGAGCAGGAGTTGTGCCCTTGGTTGAAATCACTGGCTATTTTGATGAGAGGTGCTCTGAGTTTTCAGGCTTGTAGGCAATACTCTTGTTTACTGTTGTGTAGGTTTTCGACCCGAGCTTGGTTAGAAATACAAGACAGGGAAGCTGTGGTGGTGATAGTACCTGAGTCACTATTTATTGTCCTATTACCTTTGCTGACAGTGTTGGGATTAGGTCTGCATTATTAGCAAAAACTGTCCTTTCCATTCATTCTCCGTGCAAGAGATGAGATGCAAAATTACATTTGGGACCTCAAATTTTTGGCTTCCTGCGGAAAGAACAATTCTGCGTTTAGTTTCTGTCCTCAGACTCTTTAAGAAACTAGGATAGGCTTTATAGACTTTTACTCTCATCTTTTTCCATGTATCTTTTTGCTCTACTGATTACCCATTTAGGCAGAGGAGTGTGACCCAAGGTAGGTGTTAAAAATTATAATTTTCTTAGTATTGTCCTACTCTACCTCTCTGTTGTGAATTTGCATTCCTGGCCAGAGAAATGGTATGAGATATGGTAGCCTCTTTTGATATTCTATCAAAATGTGTATGAAAAATCACATAATTTCAACAGTGCTGGAAATATTTTCTGGACACAAAATAAGGAAAATCCAAACAAGCAAAAACTCAGACGAATGTAAAGAATCAGAATTCCCCACCAAAACCCAAACCAGATTCTCCTACACTGCTGGTATCATCTTTTACAGTTCTGTGCTCCTCAGCATTTTGGTTTTTCTCTTGGATCATGCCATCAATGTCATTGCCATTTAGGGCTGTCACAACATCACCTTTAGAAAGTATTGCTCCCTGTTTTTCCATGTTTCCATCTGAGACAACTGAAGCATTGCAAAGCATGATGGGTCAGCAGCAGAGTCTGCTGGACACTCTGTGTGTGATACATCTGTATGTTTTTCCATGGTGTTCTCATGGATGAAGGGTTTCACAAACGCTGGAGTGAAAAGGAACTGTGGAACGTTTATGAAAGTGGGTGTGGTAGTGACAGAGTGCAGCCCAGACATTTCCTGATGTGACCTTGAGCAGTGGGAAGACTTGTCAAAGGAAGGTGGGAATCATTGGGAAGGCCACGGGCCATGTCTTAAGGACAAGAATGAGAGATGATCTTCCTGTCTTGAGAACTCGTGCCCCAGTGAGGGGAATAAAGGATGCCTGGAGGAAACTGTGAGGCAGAATGGACACAGAGTGTTCCTGCCTGGGTTACTTTCCAAGGCTCTGAGGTTCTGGAGTTGGAGGCCTTGTGGATCTTGAGATGCTGTGTGGTATAGAAATGCCCACAAGTGTCCTTTGAGGTTATGAAGATCTCCCACCACAGGAAGTAATTTGTGCTGCTGTGTCATTGCCAGAGGAAATGCGTTATTAAGAGGAGATGGGATGCAACATCCTGAATGTTGTTTGATGAACCATTTCTCTCTTGTGTTGAGAAAGCTGTTATGGGAGGAACGCACTTCAACCGGCTGTCCTTGTGTAGTTGTGTGCATCCACAGTAGCTTCCTCAGCTGTTGATTTTGATGGTTCCTTGCTCCTTATCAAGTGAGGTTTATAAGAGGATGTGATGAGGAAGGGGGTGTAATCTGTGTGTGTGTGTGATTTCCCCTACTTGTACACTTGCAGAGTCGGTCTCAGTAGAAATGGTGTATCCCCTGGTCATGCTTAACCCTGATCAGACACACCAAACCCGTCTGAACAGCCCAGCTCTGGTATTATATCATAATTGTCCCACACAGTTGATATTGTGATTCTGCTTGTGCTTCAGCATTTGGTGTGGTTCTCTCAAAGGCAAAAAATCATATGAACCAGCATCAGAACTGTCTCTCTGATCACAGAATCTTTAAGATCTCTAATGTGTAGCCCTGTGGTGTTTCCATCTGAGATGGCTGAAAAGGCATGGAACATTTAGGGTGAATTTCACACAGCCTGCCAGACATTCAGTGGCTTTGCATCCCTCTGCAAGTTCTTTGTGCAGATTATGAGGGAAGGTGGGGATGTGGGAAGGCCTGGGTCATGCTCAGAGTGGGTTTTATTGCTGGGGCATGCTGTTCTGGTGGGGCAGTTTGGGTGCTGTGGCTGTGATCACCGAGTATTGCTTGGGGCCTCTGTCATGGGGAGGGTGACTTTGAGTGGAGAAGTTTCTTCACTGAGGAAATGGAGGTGCTGTGTAGGACAAGCACTGTGTGTCTGGGGAAGAACAGGAGAATGCTTCGCTGGAGACTCATTTCCCATAGCTTGGGATACAGGATTCGAGTGGAAAACCTTGAGCAGACACCTGTCACTCAGGGTTGCTCGCTTGGGGTCCTCTCAGGACCTCCAGAAGTTCTGCATATCCCTCTTCCTTGGTGTTTTCCATGCTTTTTCTGCCAGATGGGAAGACATCTGTCATACATGGCTTGGATGACTTGCTTTTGGCAGTGTGATGTTTGTCAAATAGAAGCTTTTCCAAATATCAGTCTCATTTGGCCAGCGTTCTCTGAACCTCTTCTTGGTTATGTATCTGCTCCTGTGTTGATAGGGAGTGAAAGAAGTTCTCTCTTTAATCAAGAAGTTGCCAAAACTGGTGGTTTTTTTCTTTTTTCTTTTTTTTTTTTTTTTCCTCCATTGGTAATGTGTTGGGTACAGTGGATGAAATGCAGACTGCTATGTTTTGTCACCTGTCAGGTGGTGGAGTTCACAGCAGCTGACCTTTGGTTTGAGGAATGGCTTTTCCAGCCTCCTGAGCTGATGTTGATGTTGGGAGAATGTCCTTAGCTTTCCAGTGTCCCTCCTGCTTCCCCTGTGATAAAAGTGCATAAGGGAGCACTGTGCTCTGTCCAGTGATTTCGAATGTGGGTCATTTTTCCCTGTCCATCCTCCACAGAAATCTCTGAGAACATTTAAAGAAAATGTCCCTCAGAACCAATTTCCCTCCCCTGAATATGTGCCTTGTCTGAAGAAGCCACCAGTGATGCTACAGGTAAGTCGCTCCTACTTAAAAAAGATGAGTCTGAGAGACAGCTGTGCTTTTATTCCTTTTTAGTCACATTATCTTCATCTTGGATTGACCAAATATTTCTTGTATTGGGAGCTGGACTTGGTGATCCCTATGGGTCCCTTCTAACTTGAGATATCCACTGATTCTGTAAATAAACCATCAAAGCACCACTACCTGCTCTCATACCTTTCTCCCCCGGTATTTCCAGGCACAATGGGAGCAAGTGACAGCACTTGCAGATGAAAGAGGGCCACTAATGTGTTTTTCGGAGTGAATGTTTTGGCGGTCGAGGATATGTTCTCAGTGAAAAAGATACCATGTTACCTTCATGGCTTTTGCTGGGTGGATCATGCTACCGAGTGAGAGTTATTCCATGGGGACTAATGCCCCTGGGTGTGGAGGTTCTTGCCCTGTGTATCTGGCAGAGGAGGTGGAAAATAAGGCCTGAAGAGTAGCTCTTTATGGAGGTGTATAAAGAGTACCTGTATGCTGTGGTTGCCCTGTTCGTTTTTCAGCCTTCTTAAAGGATTGTTGTCCTGGGCTGTGATGGGGAGTCCTCAAAGGAAGGACTCCACCAGATTGTTTGTGTTCCTGGGAGCCTGTTTGCACCGATGCCAAAGTACCTGGGGATTGGGCTTGTGTTTCAGAGTGGTGGATTCTCTTCCTTGAGCGGACGGGGCCTGAAGAGTGTGGTTTCCTTCGAGAAGGGGAGGTGAAGGGGCATTCTGTCTGTCTTGTACCGACTGAAGATGAGAAGGAAGGTTGTTCCTTATGTGGAGACAGGGAAGGCAGCAGACGAGAGGAATAAGAACTCCTTCCAAAGGGTATGTCTGTACTCCAACGGCGAGCGATAGAATCATATGAAAAACATGTTGGTTAAGGAGATAAAACAGAGACAAGGAGGCAAGAAGAAGGGGATGTGTGTATGCATAAAGACACGGAAAACAGACGAGGAGAAAAAGAAGTAAGTAAGGAAGAATTCAGGGAAAGAGAAGCAAAGAAATGAGTAAGCAATAGGAAGAGAGAGAAAGAAAAAATTATAAACGAGTTTACTGGTGCAGCACCGATGCCATCACAGCAAACAGAAAGGGAGGAGGGCAAGAAAGAAAGAAAGGAAAAAAGAAGGAAAGAGACAAGGGAAAGAAAAACAGAAATAAGATGATATGAAGGAATGACACAAGGAGATGATTAGGAATGGAAAACGGCAAATAGGAGAAAGAAAGAAACAGCGAAGGAGGTGAGCAGTACTCACTGACCTACCTCAAGTAATTGAGCAATGTTCATTACCGAGATCCTCCACCTCCTTAAGAGCACCACGCTCCGACAGAGAAGGCACGCAATTAGAGCTGGAGCTTCCGACTCTCACGGTCTCCACTGCAACAATGAAGGCGAATGATGAGCTACCAGTGGCGGTAAGGAAAAAAAAAAAGACAAGAAAGAGAACAAAAAAAAAAAAAAAAAAGAGGAGCAAAGCAAAAGCCGACAGAGGAGATGAAGAAGCGCGGGTGCCGTGTGGGATCGTGTGAGGCGGCGGAGCAGCGCACGGTGTCGCTGCAGGCTCAGGAACGGCGTGTGGGCGGCTCCGCCCCGGTGCGGCGGAGAGCCCGGCTGTGAGCGCGGGGGGGCGGCTGGGGCCGGGCAGCGGAGCCGGGGCGTGCGGGCGGCGGCGGGAGCCGTGCGGGGCCCGTGCGGTCGGGGCCGGAGGCGGCGGCGGCGGCGGCGATGGGCGAGTGTGCGT